CTGTGGAAATCCGCCTGCCTCTGCTTCCTTCTCTCACAAGCCTACATATGTTTTTAAATGCAGTGTAAAACCTTTAGAGGTTTTTCTTTATCTGGATCTGTCTTTATCATCTTGGGAGTGTCGAGACTAAACTCCAGAAGCACCGGGACGGCGCGAGCAGATGGTAGCTGCTCCATTGCCTCTCAGTGGCCCAACAGGGAAGGCTGTGGCCACAGGTTTCCCTCTTTCTCTAGGAACCTTGGGGCCTGGGGTCATCCCGCTCACTGACACCATTCTGTTACGATAAATCTTTCTGCCACAATGCCACCTGAGCCCCACTGCCACGTGTGAGCTTTATGCCAGCTGCCCGCCTGAGTTAGGCCCAAATGAATACACAGAAAGTTGTATTATAAGGTTCAAAGCTGCTTGGCCAATGACTAGGATTTCTCATCTTCTAACTCAGTCTTAACTATCATAAACCTATATATTTTATAAAACTTATCTTATCGGACACCTTATTGGCGTCCCTCCTTGCTGGGATCTCATCTTGCCACTGGAGCAGGAGTGGAGGGGAAAAAGGGGCAGGCATGGAGATTTTCCAGGGAGAGGATTTCCAGGGTAAGGATTGGTCAGATTTCAGTTCCTGGGCTCAGATTGGCTGGATCTCATGCTCAGGGATTGGTTGGTTTTCTGCTCTGGCTTCAGGGCCAAAGTGTGTCTTTGGCTCTACTCAGGGTATGTTTCTTTGGCTGCCCCTTTTTCCCTACATGTGTGATGTTGAATATGCCCATTCTGCATACTGTGGTAGGTAGAACAGTCTTTCTATATCAAGAACAAGAATGGAGAGAATGTTGCAAGGTTATCAAAATAGATCAAAGGAATTGGTTGATTTTGAATTATGATAGTAGGGAGTGGAAGCAGTAAGTGGTAAAATCCTACAAATATTTTGATAGTAAATTTTAAAGAAATATATTCAAGCTACTAGATTCCATTTTTAGTATCCTAAATTATCAACCTCCACTTACATCCTAATTCTAGCTTTCTTCCCACAAATTTATACTTTCTCTCCAATTTAGCAGCCACTTGACTAAAATGTAATGTAACAACCTGAAACTCACATTAAATGCTGACTTTGAGCTTTAAAAGTTTTTTTTTTTTTTAATTAAAGTCCTGATATAAGAATCTAGCCAGTCCATTTCAAAGAAATTATTTTTCTTCACCTTCATAGTTCCTTTTTGCCTTAGGTATTTTCTGTTGCTGTGATTTAAAAAAAAAATCTAAAATAATCAGTGGAAGGAAGGATGAATTATTTGGGCATAGGTCCTAGGGTATAGACTCTCAAGCCACGAAGCATTTGGTCCCATTGCACCAGCAGCCAGGAAGCAGAAGAAGCTGCATGCTGGTGCTCCGTTAGCTCACTCCTTTATTTGCATCCCAGCTCAGGCAATGTTCCTGGCCTCCTTTAGGGTGGACATTCTCACCTCCATCAACCTAATCAACATAATCCCTCACAGCCATGCCCAGAAGCTAACCTCATCTAGAAAAATCCCTTACAGGCATGCCCAGAGGCTAACCTTGTCTAAACAATCTCTCACAGGCATGCCCAGAGGCTAACCTTGTCTAAACAATCCTCACAGGCATGCCCAGAGGTTTGTCTCCCAGCTGGTTCTAGATCATGTCAAGTTGGTAAGTCAACACTAACCTCCCCAGGTACCATCTGTCCTAGATAGTCAACACTAACCTTCCCAGGTGCCATGTGTCTTAACTAGTCAACACCAACCCACAGATGCCATCTGTCCTAATTAGTCAACACTAACCTTCCTGGGTGTCATCTCTCCTCACTGGTCAACATGAACCTTCCCAGGTGCCTTCTGTCCTGGCTAGTTTTATGTCAACTTGAGGCAAGCTGGAGTCATCTGAAAGAAGGGAACTTCAATTGAGAGAGGATGCTTCCATAGAATCCAGCTAGGCATTTTCTTAGTTACTGATTGATGGTGAGTGTGGAGGAGGTCCAACCCAATTGTGTGTGGTGCCACCCCTGGGCTGGTGGTCCTGGATTCTCTAAGAAAGCAGGCTGAGCAAGCCATGGGAAACAAGCTGGTAATCAGCACCCCTCCATGGCCTCTGCATCAGCCCCTGCTTCCAGGTTCCTTCCCTGTGTAATTTCCTGTCCTGCTTTTGATGATGAACTGTCATATGGAACTGTGAGGGAAACAAATCTTTTCTTCCCCAGATTGCTTTTTGTCATGGTGTTTCATCACAGCAATAGTAGCCCTAACTGAGACATCATCCCTCAAACTGCCTCCATGATTCAATATTACAGAGAGCAGCTTTTTATCTAGTAGAATTAGTAACTAGTAAAACTAGTCTTGACACCTAGTTATGCATCATAGATACCTGGATACTAACAATGACTATGCTGTGAAATTTGGTCATTATGACTGGTCCCAACATTGCAAATCTATCATGGTTAAAAACTTGTTTCAGTTCTAATTAAAGAATGTTTTTATTTAATTGTTAGAGAAAGTAACTTATTTCACTGTTAACCATGGCCAGAAACACATACAGGTAAAAAATAGAAATTTTATTTCCAAATTTTCAAGACCTTGGACAGGTCATAAAGTTTATTACATTTTTAATACCAAGACAACTAGAAGAAGAGTATGCAAAGGGACTTACATTAAGTTAGAAATGTTAGACATGATTTCCAGTAGGAAGTCCTTGATGATTCGCAGCCAAAGAAAGATAGTATAGTTTCCTATGTTAGTCAAAGACATGGACTTACAAAAAAAGTACAAATTCAATTGTGCTCATATACCAAACTAAAAATATTCAGTGCTCACAGTTAGCTGAAAAATGACAAATTTTATTTTTTCCAGATCTTTCATAGTATGTCTTTCCCAGGCTGTGTGACTGGGTCATGATTCTCTATGGCATTCAAATACTCAAATACAGAGACATAAACTTTTAAATTTTCCTGCTCAAACTGGAAAGAAACAGATAAAAGTGAAACAACCTCCCAAAATTTTAGAAATTATAGACAACACACAATATTATGACAGTGAAGTCATTAAGCAATCTTCAAAGCACTGATAACATTTGTTATTACTTAAAGAGAAAAAAATGAGAGAAGGCAAGAAATCAGAACATACACATTATATGAAAGATTTCTAGCTGAGATTATTTATATAATGAATATTACCTCATGATTTATTATCTTTAGAGACCCTTAAGTACTAAATCATCAAATAAGTTCTCCCAATTTATAAATTAATTATGAGATCAGAATCAAGCACTGTAAGAAGTCGGATGTATGAACAAAACCTGACTTCTCACTATTCTCTATGTAACCTAACTAGAAAAATCCTCAATCTCTTCATGCTGCTAGAGAGAAAGTAGTATTATTCTTGTGCATTTAACACATAATAAGAAAACTTATAAAAAATGTGTTTGCCCTTAATTTTACAGGCATACAACTGTATGTACTATTCTATTATCTAGTCATTAAGAATCATTTTGGCTTCTGTCAACTATATTTATATGACTTTTTACAATTATATTGCCTTTTTCTTTTCATCAAATATTATGGATAGCTAAATGGTTTGCTACAATTCTAATAATCATTCATTCAAAGCATTGTGGAAAATATAGTACATAAAATAAAAGGTGGATATTTATCTGATAATAAGTTATCAGAACCTGGGTGATACTTCAGTCAAGAACTCTGCCTTTTAGAATTAGAAGAAGGAGGTCAGAAAAGGTTCTATGACTCATAATGGCTTTGGCCATTGAGACTTGGCATTTATTTACAGTATATTTATAAAACAAATTAAAACTGTGAGGTCAAACTCATTTCACAGTTCCCAGGGAGCCAGAGAAGAAACTTGGGCACTTTAAGTCACTCTCAGATGTAATTAATTTTCCTTGAGTCTTAGCAGAAACAATGATAACACTAGAAAAATAAAAAGAAATTTGATAGGAAAAAGGTGAAAATTCAGTGAGAGTTTAAACATTTAAAATAGGATTTTACTCAATAATTGAAGTGTAAAATTATTTCCATTTGCTAATTATTGATAGCAAAAGTAAGAGACATAAAATATGCACATTAAATAGATATGTCTTAAACAACAAGGAAACAGCATGTGTGGTTTTCAGGAATCAGAAAAGACAATTTAAATTCCATATCATGGGTCTCTCTTTGAGCTTCATGTGTTAAAACTTTTAAGCTTATTTTTGTCTTTTTAGTGGCCAGTCCAGATTCTTCTAGAGTCCATTGGGGAATAGTTGTTTTTCAGCTAGAAGGCTAGGTTTCCTTTTCCATTGCAACATTTATGTTCACTGTCCAAGTGGCTCCCATCACATCTTGTTACTTTTGATGTTTTTCAGTTTTGAAGAATTCTGTACATGAAGAAAAAAGTAAGAGGAATCCATCAGGAGGGTATACAAGCTGCTTGCAAATACTGTTTATTGGATCCCTGAAAATGAATTTCTTTTGAGAAACAATGGGGGACAAAGCAAAAAGAACCAAAAACTAAAATAAAAGAAAAGCATGTAAATTATTCAAGATCAAAGCAGACATTTATGAGACAGAAAATCATACTGTAGATTTGTAATGTGCTTGCAGCTGAAAACATCATTTTGCATGCGTTTTTGTTCAGCATCATGACACATCTACTTTAGGAGAGCATAAGGCGTGAAACTAAGGCCATAGTGAAGCTGTGGTCTGCCTAACTAGACACAGCTAGAGAGGGAATGAAGCTATCTGTGATGTAAACATGGGGTTCTAGATCCAGTCTTCTCTGACTGTGGTACTCAAGAACAGAAACTGTCATTCTAGGAGTAAAGGGGCAAATGCTGTAAACATTAAAAGGAGCAAATGCTACAGTTCTCATGCAACAGTCAAGCTACCTAATGCTCCATTTAACATGTAAACAAACCCATGTTGGCACAACATCCTACCAAACTCCAAAGAAAAGCAGAGAGAGCTGTCTAATCTCAGACAAGGCATGTCACTCCTTCCCAAGATGGCCCTGCTACGTTTGAGAGTTAGGGTGGATAGCAAAAAACCAAACCAAACAAACAAAAAAACAGACAAAATCCCAAAACAGCAAGTAGGGAGTGCTGCACTAAAATGGTAAAGAGTTACCCAAATCTGAAATTTCTCTGACTTGTCCCTGGATTTTGTGTGCCAGAGATCTGTAAATTAATTACTAGATCTGGACAGAACCCTAAGCAGGCTTTTGCTCCTGAGTGGTCATTATCCTGTGATCTCTCTTCCTCCTTGTCTTCCAATTTCCTTCCTTCATTTCTTCCCTTCTGCTTCTCTCTCTCTGTCTCATACTCTACCTCTTTCTTTTGTCCTCTCATCCCATTCCTTTCTTTCTTCCCATTCTTAAAGTCCCTTTCTGTCATTACCCAAGTTTATGGGACTATTTCTCCATCTTTACAGATAAGAGGGAGCGAGATATAATAATTCCAATTACACAGGATTCTTATAACAATTGATCCAGGTAGTGGTGGCACACGCCTTTCATCCCAGGACTCAGGAGGTAGAGACAGGTGGATCTCTGTGAATCAGAGACCAGCCAGGTCTACAAAGCTACAAAGAGAAACCTTGTCTCGAAAAATCAAAAAAAAATGTGTTACTATGTATCTCATCATTTTTATAATGTAACTGAAATAGAAAAACAAAACCTGCAGTTTTCTGACTTCTAAGGATTTCACAGTTTGGTTGGGAAAGAAAGGAGAGAGATTCAAATTAGAAAGTTATACAATTTTCTTTACACATCATGTTAACTCCCATAATGTTTCATTTTTTCCCCTGTGGTTAACATCTCCATTCAATGCTGCCATAGATTGGAGATGCCATAGTAGATATCCTGATGCAGAATTTGCCAAGGTCCTACGTTCTCTTGGATTTCATTCCCTCTCTTCCTCATCAACTACAGTCCCCAGCAGTAGCCCTGATAATTTTTGATCATTCTGTTATCATAAATAGCAACATGCCACCCATTACAGAATATGATTTAAAATAAAGTTTTTGACCTGTATGCCCAGATTTAATTTCTACTCCCATCACCCACTACCTTTCAGACATTATCCATAAATAATAACAATATTTTATTAACAACAATAACAACATTTTTTTCTTCATTGTGCTTCCTTTCTTGGTAGTGAAGAAAAAGTAAAATTAAATAATTATTCTTATAGAAAGAAGAGAGACTGGAGACTTAGGCCTGAGCCCTGAGAATACAACTATATGCTGTGTGTCTTGACAAAATTTGTGTTCTACTTCCTTATCGGTGAGTGAGTTTTGATGAAAATTACTGAGGCATAGAGTTGAGAAATATCAAATGAAATAATGTGTCTCAAGTGTTTTATAAAACATAAAATACAACAGAAATATTACCTACTATTACAGTCCTATCATTACATAAATGAATTACAAGCCTGCTGTGGGAGAATTTAGTCTGTTATCTTGACAGGAATTTGTCCACGCTCCCCTGTCAATACACTGATTTTGGATAGTACATTGTAAAGCAGAAAAGTGGGAGGTGAGGATATTAGAATAATTATATTATCTCAAACTGAAATGGTGGCTGTAAGCCAGGTTCATTTTAAAAGAAACCCTCTAGGTCACTTCAGACTGCCTGATCTCATTCACTCTTGCCCCTGCTCACCACTCTGGTGAACCCTCTAGTGGACAGAGCTGAGTTCACATTAAACAGAAGTCTGTTCCTATCACACTCTCACCTGCCAGAAATCTGAAAGTGTACAGAAACCATTTTTTCCCTGATAATTACTTAGGTTTTAGAATGCAAATTGATATGGAAACCTTTACTCTTGGGCATTTATCACCCATTCCTTTGAAAATATCACAAGTTGAATACAGAGGTGATTGTTTTTACATTAAATTGAAGATCTGCTGAACCAATTATTTAACTGATGAAATTAGCTGAAGAATTTGGGATCATATAAAGGAAGTTCCTTGGGGATTAAAACAAATCACTCAACATTTGAACAGACATAAAATGGAGTTTTATTTCATTTTTCTTTCTAAAAAGTATAAACTAAGCAAATGGACCTTCACTAGAAGGAATACATGTCTCCAAAACTAACCTGTTAGTCTAGTTTAAAAAAATAAAGATACAGCCATGAAGTCAAATAAGTAACTCTTTGAATGCTAAGAATAATGTAGAAAAATCTCCATTTTTGCATATTTTATAGAAATCAAGTTCAAATATAGCTAAAACTGATTTACATTCTTTGATAAAACTGGTATTTTCTAAAGCATTATGCTATATACAGCCCACTGTCCTTGACAACTGAGAGACAACTTCCTAACATTGTCTAAAGCTGAGCAGCGAAATTATCAGTGAGTACCCTTTAGAGAGGAGTCTCACGATGGCTTCAGTCTCTTCTGAGTCTTCTGTCAACATGTTCAACTGGACTTTCATCCATGCTTTCAATCCTGTGCCAATTGTTTGCTTTCCTTTCTTTGGCACAGTTTGAAATTTAACTATGGGCTAAGACCAAGTATCAAATGACACATACGAACAGCTGCTGCATCTCCCTCATTTGTGGTGATTAATTCATAGTCTGTTGTTTCTCAGAGCTAAGGCTTATGTTTATGTTCTTGAAGAATGTTTTTACCTAGAGAAAATGTTTGAGAGGTGCCACGTATTGTTCATAAAGTACAGAACAGCAATCGAGAGGGCATTTCTTTATTCAAGAAAGATTTATTGAGAGTTCATCACACACCCAGTATTTTCTTAATGTCTAAAATTAGAACAAAGTGGAATTTTTAAAAAAAAATCCCTGTAATCATGGTAGCCATCTGTGGTGCAGGTGGCTAATAATCAAAATTTAAAGGGAAAACATATGCTATTTTATCTGAAAGAAAGAGGCAGTGTCAGCTAAAAGGCTATCATTTCAGGCAAGGTGGTTATAGAAGAGACTGTCAAATTAGCTCAAGGCTGGTCTATAGGAGGTAACAGAGAAGGTCATGGCAATCTCTGGACAACGAATATGACTGCAATTCCTCTTGGGGCTTTAAGAAATCAGAATTCAATGGAGCTTGAACAGAGAGAGGGATAAAAATGAGACATCATTGTGGGATATTGAGGACAGGGTTTGCAGAATTGACTTAGAGTGCAGCGTCTTGCACATGCCTATTGTATCGAGAATAGAATAAACATTGTGGAACAATGGAAGAAGACGAGTTAGTTAGCCTATTCAAGAATTTTGGTGATCTCTGTGTGTGCCTGTAATTCTAGCCCTCAGTAGACACAGACTGGAGGATTTTGAGTTCAAGGCCAGCCTGCACAATCTAGTAAGACTATTTCAGAAGGAAAAATATCTTGAAACAATGGTTGATAATAGCAGATATTTGGACTACCATGACAGCAGTGGTTATGGAAGAGAAATAGTTATATTCTAGAGACTAATGATAAAGCCAATAGAATTTGCTGATGTAGTAGGTATGATAGATGAAGGAGAATGTGGAAAATACTATACTGTTTTTCTTTCTGTGTCACTGTTTAAAATGTGGTTCATAAACATTTCCTAATCAGAATCACCAGAAAAGTGTATTTAAGTGTATTATTGGTGTAACCAAGAACCAATAGTTTTTTTTTTTCTGACAGCACATTAGTGAACCTTTTCTCTATAGGGCCAGATAGTAAATATCTGCCACATTTACTCAGCCTAACCATATAGCAGCAAAGCCGTCATAGACCAAACATAAAAGTACCAATGTGACAATGTCCTAACACAATGTTACTTATAGGCATTGAATTGAAATTTCATATTATTTCCCATGCCAAAATACTATCTTGGCTTTTATTTTTAAGGGCTTCTAAGTGAAAGCTAACATTTGTTAATCCCTGACCTCTATAGAAACAGGCATTGGGATAGACCTCACCCACAGGCCATAGTTTGCCAATTCTTCTCTTCAAAATAGATGGCCCACATCTATATTTCAATGTTGGAGCAAGTGATTTTCTTTGTGCATAAGAATATTCATCTGATGTTGACATTTGTGTGCATATTTACAGCCTAGAGGCAAATTCACAGAGACTTGACATTCTTTGAGATAGAGTTCACTCGGGTCTTTCTGGTTGCAAAGCCTGCTTGCTTTCCACAATACACCACTGCTAAGAAGACTATTTTCTTAGTAGTTCGTGATCTTGTACAGACATGGACTAAGAAGGAGGTGAAGTGAAAGGGAAAGAAAAAGATTGCTTTGCTAGAAAACTGTTGTTTCTTCTCCGTGCAGTGCATGGCGCTGCTCTTATAATTACCAGTCTGCTGATGAGAAATCCCATTGGTGAAGGCTGACAAGTGAAGTTCTCTACAAAGAGCAAGCACTGTAGAAAATAAATTAATCTCCAGGGGAG